AACCTGAACTGGACTATGTGTATCGACCAATCTAATGAAACTTATGTTATAGAACTCAAATAACTACAGGTAATTATATTAAAAATAAAATTATTCAAAAACCTTAACAGTATAACGCCTTATCTTTCCAAAGTCAGCGGACTGTAAGTCAAAATGTGTAGTTCCACAAATTTGAGGCGAGGTCCAATGAAGGTCAGCTCATTGGACGATCAATCCCATGATAAAGTAAAGTTGAAAAACTTCCCATAGAGTACCGCTACCTGAAGCTTGTGTAAATGTGCTGATAGAACACATTACCTCAAAAGAGATAATGTAGAATTCATAATGCAAAATGAACAACCAAACACAACTATGTTGGCAGCAATAAATAAAAAGTTTTTGTAATGAAGTAATAAGTTCTGTAAACGGGTAGAAATATAAAATAACTCCACTTCGGAATAACTCAACAAGTTACAAGTGTCACTACTGTATAATAAAACGTTGTTGAGAGAAATAAATACAAAGATACTGTAAAAAAAATTTAAATAAAACACTTGAAGAGATCACAAACTAAATGTTACAACACGAGTACTGCCAAAGAAGAAGTGATTGTTCGGCAAATTTAAACTGAGGGAGTCACGTGCATCAAGACAGTATGTCGCACTCTTATTGGTGGAGGGTTGTTGCATGATGATTTGCATGCGAGACCATTGGAATCAGTCAATTCCACATGAGTGGAGGCTTCAAGGCTTGTGACATGCTGAAAAAAGTTTTGCATACAGAGGGCAGCACTGAACAAAAATAGCTATTTATGTGAGAGGAGGTAATGTACCATATCAGAAAGTGTTTCTGGTAACATTCTTTGTCAAATTACACTCCTGTTCTCATTGTTGGTCCTGAAGTAGTAGCATCTTCATCACAGGATCCTATTGGTCTTGCTTATATGCAAAGGTTGTCATGGTGTGAAACCAGATTCTACTTCGTCACAAGCCAAGACAATAAACATGGATGAAAAATGTTATTTCACCCCAGATATTTTTAACATTTTTTTATTAAGTGTTTTATCCAGTCTAAGGAAATTAAGCTACTGATTTCAGATGATTCAAACTTGACAGAAAATTTATGAAAAAATATTCACTCATGTATTTGCGTCTAAATGTCAATCAAAAGAAAGTATGAAGAAAAGTATATAAAAGTATTGCATGTTATCATAATTTGGATCACACAGTTAATATTTAATAGAGTGACTGATAATCTTGTCTAAGGATACATTTACAAGATTATCTGAGATATTGAAAGTACAAATATCTCCAATGTCTCTGAGGTGTATTTTGAAGACAATAGGACCTATAGGATTCATCTTTAAGATCTGGAAAGGAAAGGCTAGGCTTTAATTATAACAGTTTTATTTTTCTAACAAGATGGTTCGCTTATGGAATGAGTTGACTCAGTAGTAGTGGAAGCCAACACTTTACAAGAGTTCAAGAGAGCAATCAAAGATTTTCTGAAATGTAAAGGGTTAATTTTTTTCTTTTTCTTTTTCTTGGGGATTGGGTGTGCAGGACAGTCTTTGTGTACAAAATGGTTGATCCCTTGTTGTCCATATGTTAAAATTTGAATGAATGTTCTGTGGTAGTATCATCTGGAATACATGTAACAACTCTGAACTTACCAATAAGTTGAGTCCCTCCAAAGGTCTGTAGTGCATGTATCGGACTTACTGGCCCAGTTACTTGAGGTTGACCACCAGTCTGGATGTGTGGAGTAGCTATGACACTCCCATTGGGAGAAATGCTCAGGTACTGACCTTGCTGACCTTGTAGCTGGATTCCATTCATAGTTGGAATCCCCTGAACCTAGAACAATAAGGCTCAAAGTTTACAGCACATGACTCTGTACATTTGCTAAATATTAATAAGAGACAAAATTATTGTGATTTAACAAACAAACTTTTTTACTTTTTTTAATTACTTTTCAAAATGTACACATTGATCATAAAGTTAATCTTGAAAGCTAACTTGATAACATTCACAATCTTAACTTTAACTTAATTGTCAACCTTCAAGTACATGATGTAGTCTTTCGTTGTCAACCTTCAAGTACATGATGTAGTCTTTTTATTGTCGACCTTCAAGTAGATGATGTAGTCTTTTATTGTCAACTGTCAAGTACATGGTGTAGTCTTTTATTGTCAACTGTCAAGTACATGATGTAGTCTTTTCTTGTCAACCTTCAAGTACATGATGTAGTCTTTTTATTGTCGACCTTCAAGTACATGATGTAGTCTTTTTATTGTTGACCTTCAAGTACATGATGTAGTCTTTTATTGTCAACCTTCAAGTACATGATGTAATCTTTTATTGTCAACTGTCAAGTACATGATGTAGTCTTTTATTGCCAACTGTCAAGTACATGATGTAGTCTTTTATTGTCAACTGTCAAGTACATGATGTAGTCTTTTATTGTCAACTGTCAATTACATGATGTAGTCTTTTATTGTCAACCTTCAAGTACATGATGTAGTCTTTCGTTGTCAACCTTCAAGTACATGATGTAGTCTTTCATTGTCAACCTTCAAGTACATGATGTAGTCTTTCTTGTCAACCTTCAAGTACATGATGTAATCTTTTATTATCAACCTTCAAGTACATGATGTAGTCTTTTATTGTCAACCTTTAAGTACATGATGTAGTCTTTTATTGTCAACCATCAAGTACATGATATAGTCTTTTGTTGTCAACCTTCAAATACATGATGTAGTCTTTTGTTGTCAACCTTCAAATACATGATGTAGTCTTTTATTCACACTTTTTGTGAACACTGATTTCTGTTATCATATGCTATGAAATATTTTTCATTTTTACGTAAATATTATTATAAATCACTAATAAGGGAGAATCTAATGAACAGCATACTTGAAATTGTAGTTAAATACATGATTTCAGAAATTAAACTGAACTCATTAATATCTACAACAGCTCAAAATACTTGTATCCTTATTGCACTAAGTAGGTTATATCCTCATTGTACTAAGAGGATTATATCTTCATTGAACAATAGGGCTGTATCCTCATTGTACTAAGAGGGTTGTATCTTCATTATACTAAGTACATTGTATTTCCATTGCATTAAGGGGGTTATATCCTCATTGAGCAATAGGGTTGTATTGTCATTGTACTAATGAGCAGTGGTGTAGGACATAGTTGCAAAGTAGCTCAATCTATGGGGTCATGCCCCCCAGAAAATTAATATAATAATAATAACTTACAGTTGCTACATAAGTCAAATATATAAAAGTCCAAAACCTCTGACTATGAGGGATTGTGCATAAAAAGATTTATTTTACAATCTTCATTTCTAAACTTAACAGAATGACTAGTCACATGTAAGAACAGAATACACATTCCACAACCGAGAGATATTGCAGTTATAAAAAACATTAACTTGTCTTTGGCCCAGGTAAAAATTGTGTCTTAAAATACTTCCAAAATGCAGAGAACAGGTCTTTTTAATAGAATAGCTTTAATTTTAAAGGAATTTCTGGATTTTCAGCTTACAGTGTGCATTAATTGATCTATTCAGTAACTACACTATCCGAAACTAATGGGTTTGTTTGAACTTGTGACTTAGCTTAATTTATCAAAAGTGTCTTTTATTCAAATTCTCTTATTCACACTTGTCCTTTTTTTCTCTTCAACAACCGACACCTCTATTGTGTATTACCAGACCTTCTTTAAATAAACAAATAATTCTAGATTGCTTGGTCAATGTTTGCAGTTCACCATTCCAGTTTACTAAGATACATCTAACAAGTTAGTTTTATTTTTCATCAGCCTGTTTTTAATACACACGCATATATAGAACCTGTTGGTCTTGTGTTTAGAAAGAAGCTTACAGCCTGATTACTGGGGTTGCTTAAAGCACCATATCACTAACATGCAACTTTGGTTCAGTACAAATTTATTAGGTTTTTTTTTTTTAGATTAACAATTTTAAAATCTAACACACACACACAAAAAAAATATGTAGAAAGATTCAGAGCCAATCAGCCAGAATAATACAAGGGGAAAGTTGATCTGTTTCAAATATTTAGGCAGAAAAGTAGAAGAAACAATTACAGGTAACTATGTCAAAATATTACTCCTGGCTGTTCCATGTGGCAAGTTGTTCAACTGTTACAGAATAATTATTGTTCAAATATCATCAACTAAGCTGAATGTTATGTAAGTACTAGTATATAGCCCGTCAAAAATGACGGGGCAAGTACTACCACCCCCACTCCACCCCATAATATACCCTAATCTCACATTTCATAGCTGACTGAAATAAATAAATTTTGTGAAATCAAGCTTGACCAACAAAGAGCTGCAAAAGTGCAGTCGAGGCAGTCAAATCAAACGTTGGTAAATTCTACTGTGAGCCAATCAAAATTAAGATCATTCATGAAATGAATTCATAGGATATTCATAGAATAATTATTGGTAAAAATCAGTTAGATTAACAACTTCTAATATATAGAAAAGTCAGTGCATTTTGGTAACACTACCTTCCAACAATGGCTTTTATGTCATGTTGCTTAGGAATAAAAGTATAACCTAATATTGTTGTTAGTCTATGTACTGAAAGTATAAAATGAAATATTTAGACAACAAAACTGGAAAAATATTTATTGATTTCTTAACTATGAGTCTCTGTTGATTAAGGAGGTACGTTTTTTATTAAAAACGTTGGTGATATAACAGAAAATAGCTTTAGTCGAAAATGATTTAAGTTTAAAATTGAATTTATATTTTTACTTTAATGATAAATTTTATGCACTTGGCTCTAGGCTAGGTGATCCCACACTACATCTTTACTTTAGGCCTATTATACCAACATTCACAACACTTATAGTTTCACGGCACCCCCATACCACCCTCTCATGGCCCCCTTCCACCCTCATCACTAAAATCATATGGGCACACAGTAATCAAACTATTCTATTTGGATCAATGCATTTTGGATTTTATGGCTCCTCCTATTTCAAGAAATCAAGCGTGACGTGACACACACACACACACACTAGCTTTTATATAGGTTAGATTATTGTTAAAACATCACTGGTTTAGCTGAATGTTGCAAACTATTATCATCAAAACTTGGTCAACTAAACTAAATGTTATGTAAATATTATTGTTAAAACTTCATTGGCTAAGCTGGATGTTACGAAGTATAATTATTAAAACTTGGTCAGCTAAACTAAATGTTATTGTTAAAACTTCATTGGCTAAGCTGGATGTTACTAAGTATAATTATTAAAACTTGGTCAACTAAACTAAATGTTATGTAAATATTATTGTTAATTGACCAAGTTTTAATAATTATACTTAGTAACATCCAGCTTAGCCAATGAAGTTCATTTAGTTTAGTTATACTTAGTAACATCCAGCTTAGTCAATGAAGTTGTAACAATAATATTTACATAATTATTAAAACTTCATTGGCTAAGCTGGATGTTACTAAGTATAATTATTAAAACTTGGTCAGCTAAACTAAATGTTATGTAAATATTATTGTTAAAACTTCATTAGCTAAGCTGGATGTTACGAAGTATAATTATTAAAACTTGGTCAACTACACTAAATGTTATGTAAATATTATTGTTAAAACTTCATTGGCTAAGCTGGATGTTACTAAGTATAATTATTAAAACTTGGTCAACTAAACTAAATGTTATGTAAATATTATTATCAAAACTTCATTGGCTAAGCTATTATTGTAGCAAGTTATTGGACTGACCTGAACAACATTTGATGACCTGAGTCCAGCCAGGTTAGAAACGCTGATTGCAGGTGATGGCCACCAAGTAGCAGCATTACCCGGAGAGATAATCTGTCCTATTTGATGACCTTGCACAACTTGCCCAGTAGGTATCTGAATGTTGTGGACATTAACTGGCTGACCACCAGCCACTACAGTAGTGTTGGCTGTCCCAGTCTGACCCTGGCTAGTACCAGTGGTTTCTGAGGATGAGATGGAGGTAACTACTGGAGTTCCAGTAGCTGTTGTCCAAGTGGTTGATGTAGCCAAGTTTTGAGCTGGATTCTGAGCTAGTTGCAAAACCTGGAAAGGAGCTCCCATATGCACTTGTTGTATTTGTCCTTGGGATACAAGCTGTAATTTTTTTTAAAGATCTGATATAAGCTATTCTCTCCTATGAAGTGACTAAATGTGATACCATCTATACATTATACTTAAGACTTCTGGTAACAAGTTAGCAAGTAAAACACATAATTGTATAGTGACAAGTATGTTTATGTGTTATATAAATAGAAAATAATAAACTATTTGTGTAATGTGAGGTTTACATTGATGTATCTTATATACAACTCTGATCATCAACAGCTTTTATGATGTTTGGGTAGTATTTCATTTACCACAGCAAACCTATGTGTTTATACAGGACATGTAGCTTTGATGCTATTAACTTATTCTTCTGTATTATTAAACAGAAAAGCTGTTCACGTAACTTAAAAGTATCACTGATTCATCAAGTATCCACATTAATCAAATGGATGCTCAAAATGGTTCATTACTAACCTCAAGCCCTTGTTAAGAAACATGAACTTATCATTCTTAATACAATATGAACTGTAACTCTTACTGATTTGAAGACAATCATTTCAGTGACCACAAAATACCTGCAACACTACATTAGCTACTCTGTAAATCTAACATCTTAGAACTTATTTGAAAATTTACTATTAATTCTTTACTACTTTAGCATCAGTCATAATGTAAGTTCTGGTACGTACATTGCTATGATAAAAATATTGAACAAATACTGTATTTCACAAACATATTTTTTAACATAACCTATAAACAGCAAGAGACTATTTGGTTTTTCAAGGCTATTCTTTCACACCCACCCTTAGGAAAAAGTAGAAATTTAAACCCACCCTTTATTTTTCAGGAAATTATTGATTCTTCTCTTAAACCCATCTAAAGTACTGGTCTTCACTACTATCAATGACAACTCATTCCATGAGTCAACTACCCTGTTAGGAAAATAAAGAAAACCTGACTTACACAAAGAAACCAGAAGCCTTTATCTTATCAATCCTCCAGATAATTTTACAAAGGATAAGATCACCTTTTACCCTGTTTTCTCAAGAGAAAATTAGTTAAAACATTTAAACTAATTGCTATAAGATAATCCTTCCATTTCTGGAATCATTTTATCCCTGTTCTAAACCCTTTCCAATAATTCATTATACATTCTTATATAAAGAAACCAAAACCATACACAGTATTCCAAAAGAGGCATAACTAATGATATGTATAGAAATAATTAACTGTTTTGACTTGTAATCAATGTGCCTATAAAAATACACTAAAATTATATTAACTGTACTAATAGCAACAGAGCACCCTTCATTGGCTTGGGTAACTTATCCACCAGTATGTCAAGATCCTCTTCTTCACTTCAGTCATGTTGTTGAGTTGGCTCCCATCTATATTAACTGTGTGATCCAAATTATGTCAATCAAAATGTATTAATTACCTCATATACTATAATCAAAGATCTTTTACCAAATATATGTCCAGTTTATCATTTGATCCAAGTCCTTCTGTAATACTTCAACACTCTCAGTACAGCTATAAATACATCAAATACACAAGTTTTTGCCATCAGCAAACTTTACTAATTTATTAATTATGTCCCTATCACTATTGTTAATGCAAAGATCCAAGCACTGACCTCTGAGGCACTCCACTAGTAAGAAGTGTCAAGTTTGATGAAACCTTTTGCTTTCTCTCACCTAGCCACCCAACAGTCCAATTAACTTGTCTTTCCCCAAACCCCACCAATATGATGTACTTCCAAATTTCAAATTGACCAAAATAATCTTGGTTAAATAGGGGAACTTCTGGACAAGTATTATTAATAAATACACCTCCTGCTCCATATCGAATTTTACAATAAAAGGCACAAAAAAAACCTTTTGAAGCACATGTTCTAGTCACTCACTGTTATAATACTATGGTGAGAATTCATAGAGGGTTTCCTAACCAAGGTCCAAAGTTCTCAAGTTAATTTTTGTGAACAAATGTTAGTTCATGTATTTGTGCAACCTCTGTTACAAATTTAAAATTAAACACACAATATTAAATCGAGGAATTTTGCCAAGTTTAACTAGTGCAAAATATCTCTTTTACTTTAGAGCTGAGAAAACATTATGTGATAATTTGTTTGATGAAGTTCTCAAAGTAGTGGTATAAACATTTTCAGTAAACTTTGTGCAAGTTGTTTTGAAATTTGAAGTCACATTATGATTATCATCATACAAGTTTTCACGTAATTACCATACTCCATTTTCAAAATGTTTCATTATGTTAATAACGCGCTGCTGAATTCACATACTAAATAAATATAGGAATACAAATAACAATTTCACAGATTAACAAAACTGATATCTTTAGGCTTACCTGGGCCATCTGAACTGGCATTTGTGTGGCAGCTAGTTGAGTCATGACCTGGGCTGGTTGTCCAGTTGAGGTCAACATATTACCTCCTCCAACACCCTGTATAACTTGAAAGGGAAGGTGGACTGTCTGTAGTACCGTCTGGCCTCCTGCTGTTGATACCGGAACCTGAACTGGTATGGTCTGCTGCATGGCACTCATAGGAAATTGAAAAGCCTGAAGAATATTTCCTTGACGTATTGCTACATTTTGGCCACCAAGAGGCGCAAGTGTAATATTGTTCACGTTACCGATTCCCTGAACACCTTGCAACACTGTTGTCCCGTTATTCTGTAGAGCAACTGATGAGGGTGTTTGAGCATTCTGGGCACGGACAAAAGTCTGCCCATTTGAAGTGAGAACTGCTTGGTTTCCGTTGATCTGACCCGCCGCCACCGGGTTGACGTTTCCTGGAATATAAATGGCTCCCTGTCCGTCGATCTGCAAGTTCTGGAGCTGGTCCGCTGATATAATGCTATATGTTATGTTTCCTCCAGTTTGAGGGTGGGTTACGAGAGTTTGTGCCCCCTGAGGAAATAACTGACCATTGACAGAAACCACAGGGACACCATTTTGAGGATTAGGAGTTCCAACAGAAACACATGATGGGAGAGATTTGATTCCGGCTGCAGACACTGTCAAAGCCGCGGGCTGAGCCGACTGTCCGTTCACGCCCGCGACCTGAGTCACTGTTCCGTCGGGATTCAACAACCCTAACGCTTGTGCCGGAACTGGAATAAAATGTGTTGGTCCTCTGGACGTTGCGATTATGTCTCCACTCGGTAAAACTTGACTTTCACCCACCACTTTGACGGTTGATGAACCACCCTCATCCACTGGTGACCCTATCTTGCTACACGTAGCGGCCAAAAGCGCCAAAGGGGATGGCTGGATTTCCTACATAGGCGGAGTCACGAAAGAAAGGGGTGTGAATAAAAAATAGCGTCAAGACTATTTCAAATAAACAGTTCTAATTTTAACCTTTTAAATTTGTTAAATACTTACTTGTGAGGCACTGCTAGGTACTACGTAATCTTGCTGCTGTCTTCTAACAGCAACTGTAGTCATTCTGCGACACTTAGCACTAAAACGATAATCATAAAAGACAAGCGCGCCAAGAATGTAATCTAAGATGGCGGCCACTCACATCTGCGATAATTTTCATGAAAGTATACCAGCATGAGCCACTTGGACTACGTAGGTGTAAATCTGTTCTGAAGAAAAAATCTCAAATATCAAACTATATATGCCGCTTTACATAATAAGTAAATAACAAGATACATATATTTCATTATATACCTATGTATATAACAAAACGTGTGAAGCGTTCTCCAACTGTAATTCTATTTTGAATTACCTCATACGTGACGTAGCGGAGGAATATAGTATATCATACCGCTGCACTAAGGCCATAGCGGTCATCGCAGTAGGCGTGACTGGCAGGCGGAACACAAAAGAATGCAGCCCCAAACTACACCGCCCATATCAGAAATTGATGTTCAAGGTCGCCGACCTATCTCAAGGGGTGGGGGTATCTTCTATAAACCTCAGCTTAAGGGAGTTAAGCTCATCCCACAATCTTTTCACGTGAACTTTGCTAGGCTACAACGATATAGGTCAGGACGTATCTTAGTAACGCCACACGTTCAGTGCCTTCAAGCGGAACTGGGATAATAGTGGCTTTCACCGCAATGCAAAACATATCTCCATATTTTAATGTATTGATCCCGTCCTTAAATTCCCATCTTTCATAACTGCGAGGAATAAATCTCATACACAAAACAGTCTTATGATATAAAGGACAATTATATATTATAGATTTACAAAAAATTACGCAATTAATGGCCGAAACAATTAAAATTTTATGATTAGATTGTTTGTTTGGAATTATGCACAAAGCTACACAAAGGGCTATCTGTGCTCTGTCCACCACGGGTATCGAAATCCGGTTTCTAGCGTTATAAGTCCGCAGACATGCCGCTGTGCCACTGGGGGGCATTTTATGATTAGAAGTATAAGTAATATGATTCAGTGAAGACATAAGGTGCATAAGTATACACTAGCTTGCTTATGAAAATTGTTTGTTTGTTTGTTTTAGCGTAAAGCTAAACAATGGACTATCTGCGTTCTGTCCACCACGAAAAATCGAACCCCAAAATTTAGCGTTCTATCCTATCTCTGATCCATCGGAAGATTTTAAAGGAAATTAACCTTTGTAAAGATTGAATATGATAAATATCACTCATGAATGATGTTCGGGTAAACAGTACCTGGATTCGCAAGTGACCACAAGTTTTTCATATAATATTCATGTTAGTTTTGACACGCTTGGGTTATTGAAATCAAATGTTTTTAGTTCTAAATCATCAAGAATTTGCCACTAACACCTGGAGAAAAATAATTAATAACAATACAAGATATAAGAAAAAATTTATACAGACAATTTATATTTCCGATCGATTTTTTTTTAGAATGTAACGTCAATGAATATAAAAATATATATATTATAGAACTGCTTGCATTCCAGCACTAAGATAACATTGGGTCTTGGTTCTCAAACTAAACACGCCTGAAATCTTATAGCAAAACACCCTTTCGGCCCTCACAGACAAACGAAGACAAATGTTGTCATGATCATGTACGCCCAAGGTGGACCTGCAGGGCGTTTCCGATGGTCTATATTCCGCGCCCATGGCGTCCCACCCCTCTCTTCCATGTGGTTTATTCCCGCGATTATTCGATCCGTTGTTGTGGCGTCAGCGGCAAACGCGTCACGAAGTCCTTTACGAATCACAATGTAACATAAAATACAGGGTGTATTGTGTTTTTTCTACGCTTCTCTTTGAACTTAGCTTACAGAAAGTAATTACATAATAGACGACTGTACACAATTATGTAATCTCATTTGTTGTTTCCTTACAGCCGCAGATCAAACTTCACTAAGTCGTATGTTACAGCATACAAATAATTTCACAAAACTTCGGGCGAAATACGTAAGCTAGAAAATTTACAAGAAAAATTACATTGATTACAGAATTACAGACCACGTAAATATCAGATTAAAATGTACTTTTATAATGCATCTATAACGTATAGTTGATCTTGTTTTTTCCCATTTTTTATGTCTATTGTTGTTGTTTTGAAATATCTAAAACAAAATTTTTGATTATTTGTAGCCCCCCCCCCCCAGTGGCACAGCGTATGTCCACGGGCTTACAACGCTAGAAACCGGGTTTCGATACCCACGGTGGGCAGAACACAGATAGCCCATTGTGTAGCTTTGTGCAAAAATTCAAATAAACAAAGATTATTTGTATCATTTTGATGAAAAATTTTACAGTTTGGTTAAGATAGAAATAAGCTAGTGTATCAACTTTTGTCTGTAGTTAAAACATCTATATGTACATTTAAACAGTGTATGATAATATATGTACACCAGAAGACACCTGAGAATCGTTATAGAATTTCATGATTGTGATCAGGAGTGGAAGTCATTAAATGTTTATTTGCATAATAAAATGACATCCTGCCCCATGGTTCTGTAACTTTATCAATGAGCTTCACAAGCCTTGTTTCTTGTTCATTTAGTTAATCTAACAAAAGTTCAGAACTGAAACTAATTAAATTTATATTAGCAGTTCATCTGTTACTTTGAATTTTACATTGAACCTTGTGATCCAGAAACTTTTATGGTGGACCGGGATTGTATTGGTAGTTGAAATTCCCGGACTGTGAACCTGACTGTCTATAGTTCCCGAGCCTTTGACACAAAAGCTTTCTGCAAAGTATACGGCCATGAGTGCGTTATAAGAGTAAAGGTCAAATTCCAATATTCGATAAAGCGAGAGTAGACCAAGAGCTAGTAGTGGGGGCTGTCTTCCCTCTAGTATATCACTTGCAAGTTGTATAGCTTAACTATAAACAAACAAAAAGTTTCAAAAGGGAAATTCACGACTTCTTTGAGTTGTAGTGTAAAGCGCTGGTCAAAACTAAAGTTTCCAAAAACTATAAAAAAGCTACCTCTATGGGGTGAAAATGTTCAAATTATTTCAAGAAACAATTATACAACTTATCTTCAGAAGACGGGAAGTTTTTTAAGTTATGTTTTACTTTATTAATGTTACGTAAAAGTTGTTTTTCTCGATGTTAACCCGTATAATTTACTCAATTGTTTCTTTAACTTTATTTTTAAGAATTTGATGAAAATGTTTACGATATATAGTTTTATTATTTTTAATTATTACACTTTCATTGTAGAAATTGTTTTGCATTTTTAATTAAATATCTGGATTTGGGACTAACCTAAATCTTCTAATCTGACCGAATCTTGTATATTGTTACGACAACGCAGGTCACGTGAATCTAGTAACACGTCATTGACTTCTAGAAATATCCTGTTCCTTCATGAATGCTCTACCGTTTACTACATATGTGTTAGTCTTGTATATATAAGACGGTCACAATGTGACGGAACAAGGTAATGTGTAATTGAACTGCGGACAGAGTATTGTTGAGTTGAGCACGTGAGACGTTCGTTGTGAATTATAGCCTTTGTTATAGCGCGACTGTTGAAATTAAGTGTATCGCAAAGTTATATTCAGAAAGAATAAACCAGTTTTATTTAAGAAAGGACTTGTATCTGTAAAGTTTTTCGGAAATAATTTTTACGGAAAATTAACTAACGAACGAAGACGTAAAAATATTATTGAATTTACGACCGAAAACATCGTAAATGAAACAATGCATTCTAATCGTAAAGTGAAAACAAACTTCTCTTTATCTTCATTTTGAGTCTTCAGTTATTAGATGTCCTTTAAACGGTAGAGACGCCCACGTGGTTTTTTTACTTACCTTTGATCGTCCTACCATCTATTGATGAATTAAATGGTTAAAATAATTGTATGGCATGTAGATTGTGAAGTATTTTCAATTCGAAGCTACTTCACAATTTATTTTTGACCTACGACCTCTCAAAACTAATCAAACAAGATTGATAAAAAATATGTTGAGAACAAAATATGTTTGTTTTGTTTTTCATTTAAGAAACTCACATATTCTTGATTTTACAGGAACGTTACACTCGTGTTTTGTTTTTTATGGGGGGTGCCTTTAAGAAATGTCTATTTATTCTCTTTATTTATAAAAAAAACCGAAATCTCCCTAAGCCACTCAACACAACTTCATGGCGATCTGATGCTGCTTCAAACAACCATTGAACCCAACCCATAGGTCTCATCTGATTGGAGATATATCTGTCGGTTCAAGTTACATAGTACATGGAGGTCAAAAACAAAACACTTTCATGCCAGTGGAAGTCACGATATAGAGGGAGAATTAAAAAAATTAAAAGACTGATTTCTTATATTTCAGGTGGTGTGTGTGTGTATGGGGGGGGGGGGAGCTTATGGAGGCACAGCCCTCCAATGAGGTCTGCCCTCACTCCACTCTACTGGACATGCAATTGATCTGGCAGGACTGAAAGTTGTGTGAAAATGACCTGACGTTTTTCAC